AGGAAATAATCCAGATGGGAGTACGAATGATGGACGTGTGAGAAGAAAGTATATTCCCTACTGTTAGGGTGAAGAGAACGCCATGCATCGCGAAGACCATAGTCGCTCATGTACTGCTTAACTATATTTATGGATTCTCAATTGCGCTGTACTGAGCCTGTCCATTTCTTTATTTAGTGCGAAGTTGAGGTCGCCCCCAAGAACAAGTGCGCTATCTAGGTGTTCAGAGAGTGTGGTAAAGAAAACGTGGAAGAATGAAGGGTTATCAACATTTGGACCATATATACTAACAATATATAACTTTTTGTTAAGTATAGATAATTTAATGATTATAAATCTACCTTCTGGATCTATAATTGTGTTGAGTACTGTGAAATTAACATTTTTATGTTAATTTAGAATAAACTCCAAATCTGACAATAATCTCCAATAATTCAAAATTGGCAAAAGACCATACAGGCTCACCGGTGGCTGCCATCCCTTCAGCCCCCATTCCCCTTCTGAATTGGATTTGGAATTGGATGCCCCGCTTTCATGTACCATGTGTAATAATGTTTCTAAGGATGGCAGGAAACACACTGCTTCTATCCTCTCATCACCAGAAGCAGTGGGTGGCGAGTCGTGTTGAGGGCTCTATTTTGACAATCTAATATAATATAAGGCGCAAAGAGGCTACTCTTTGGGATTATGTGGCCAGATCTCTCTCTTCAGTTCTTTCCTCTCCCATCCCCCTGTCTCCAGTGGTCCTTCTTCTCCTGGACTTCTCTTCTCTCTCTCTTGCTTCCAGCAGAGGCTCTGACGTCTGCTTCCTTAGCGGCCAAGTTGTTATTAGCCTCTCATTGGAGGTCTCCTGATCGTGCCATTTCCACTGTCTGGAAGTCCACCTTTCTTGATCTGCTTCTGCTGGAACTCTCTGAGGCCGGATTAACAACTCGTCTGGTTCTACGATCCAGAGCTGGCTCCATGACTTGCAGCTGGTCAAGGACTGGCTGGGGGTCATGTCCTGAGGCCGTATTCCTTGTTTTTTTTTTTTTATTTTTACTTTCCTAATTTTGACATTTCTCACTGATATAAGTGTGTTATTTCTTTTCTCTTCAGTTTTTAGCTGCGCTCTCCGGGGCTGGGTGTTCCGGTGACCATTGTTGGTCTTTTGTTTGTTTTCCTTTGAGGTGCTGTCTCATGGTGTATTGGGGGGTGGGGGGGTGGAGTGTGTTCTGTTCTGTCTTGTTTTTTGTTAAAAAAATCTCTAATAAAAATTTGGTCACAAAAAAAAAGAATGGCGCAGCGGCGCAAGATCTTTGGCGGATTGCTATTTTAACAGAGTATTTACCTGCAAAACTAGATCAGTTTTCAGCTGAGGAAATGGACATGCTCGTGTGTAAAGTGAAAAGGCATGAGTATGGCGTTAAATTAGTGCCAAAACTCGTGTGCATAAAAACCATGCGCGCGTATGCGCTCTCTACTCGCTCGCGTTTGCACAGCACTCGCTCGCTCGACAGGATGAATTTTGACACTTTGGAGGCGGGAACAGTGGCTAGTATCTCCGCTCCTTTGGTTTTTTAAAAATTTTGACTACGATTGGTTATTTTCTTTGGTAGAAGATGAAGATAACTTGTCACTGACCGCGGTTAAGTTAGCCTCATATTCGATATTCAGTTTTATGGCTTTAATAACTTTTAA